GTTCTCTCTCATGTGTTTTTGTAAACACTTGTAAATTTTCTCCCTTTAGTAAAAGATCTACAGCAGTCCGGAGAAGTAAGCATAATTGGCTGAACTCCGTTATCAGGTTCGGGTATTATTTTTCCGCTTTTATTTCACATTCTCACTAATCTGGTTATAGGAAAATTACTCGTTTATTTCCCAATAGTGATTTCCCCAAACTAGCAGCAGAAAAACTAGAGACTGTAATAGCACCAATGTCGGATGAAGAAATCAAAGGTGTAATCTTTGAGATGAACCCATGGAAAGTGCCAAGTGTAGATGGGATGCACGCTTTGTTCTATCAGCGAAACTGGAAGGTAGTAAGCAATTCAGTCAGCCAATTTGTGTAAAACCTATTTAATGGAGGTCCAATGGAAGAGAGTCTGAATCGTACTCTACTCGTCCATATACCGAAAAATCAAAGCACTAGAATACTTGTCACAGTTTCGACCAATAAGCCTTTGTTCAGTTCTTTACAAGGTAGTGAAAAAGATCATGGTTAATCGTTTAAAGTCGTTACTGACGGAATGGATCTCACACACTCAAGCTAGCTTCGTTCCTGAACGATCCATAACGGACAACATAATCATAACCCAAAAAGTAATCCATTCAATGCGAAGGAAGTAAGGTAAACGAGGTTGGATGGCAATAAAAATTGATTTGGAAAAAGCCTACGATAAACTTGAATGGTCATTCATTGAAGATACACTGCAAGACATTGGTCCCCCAGTAATTTTTATTGACAGAATTATGCAATGTGTCTTATCAGTATCTACACAAATCCTATGGAACGGATTGATGACGAACTCATTCAAACCAACCAGGGACATTCGACAAGGGGATCCGATATCACCCTACTTATTTGTAATGTGCATGGAAAGACTAGCACAAGCGATCAACCGCAATGTGAAAGACAAAAAATGGAAACCTTTCAAAACCTCCAAAGAGAGTCCTAAAATTTCACATATTTTCTTGCAAATGATATGATTCTATTCACGGAAGCTTCGACTGATCAAATTAACATCATCCGGAAAACAATGAAGGACTTTTGCGAAGCATCAGAATAAAATGTCAGCATTGAAAAGACGAATATATATTTCTCAAAAAACATCCCAGAGGAGACAAGGAACACAATAAAAGGAATGATCGGGTTTAAGGAGGTATCAAATTTGAGTAAATACCTCGGGGTACCATTGCTACCCGGGAGATCAACGAGAGGAGCCTATAGGTACGTGGTTCAAAAGGTTCAAGACAAGTTGGCAGGGTGTAAAGTGAAACAACTATCACTAGCGGGGCGCTTCACATTAGCAAAGGCTGTTTTAACAGCAATACTGGCATACATGATGCAATCAATCGAAATAACCCAAGGTGTTTGCGCATAAAATGAGAGGCTAATTAGAAGATTTATATGGGGCCACTCGTATGATAAGTACGATGTCAATCTAATTAGATGGGATAACATCTGTAAGCCATGCTCGAAAGGTAGTTTAGGGATAAGAAAACTTATACAACAGAACAGAGCATTTCTTATGAAAGTAGCGTTCCAACTGATAAGAAATAAGAACCATCTTTGGGTACAAGTTTTAAGAGCAAAATAAAAGTGGGGAGAGTCGATACCAGAATCCTTGAAGACAAAAAATTGTTCACAACTTTGGAGAGGGCAAAGCAAAGTTTGGAAACGAAACGAGAAAATGAGCTATGTGGAACATAGGCAATGGTCGAAACATCAAGTTCTGGATGAACCCCTGGCTAAATGAGAAGGAACCACTAATCAAGTATGTTCAGAACGTGAATATTCAAGATTCATAATTACAGACAATTACTTCCATGGTTACCAAGGATGGAGACTAGAAATAGACTGAATTTGAGATACGACTACCAAGGAATATTTTGCTTAAAATAGCAGCGATCGAACCACCACTCCCAACGTTCCAAGATGACACACCAGGATAGAAAGGAAGGGAAGATAGGAAGTTTTCAGTCAAATATGCTTATCGCATGTTCAATGATCAACCCAACACAGAGAAAAATCCAACGTGGAAGACAATCACTAAATTCAGATGAATACCGAGAGTTAAAACTTTTCTATGGCTCGCCGCTAAGGAAGCTTTATTAACGAACAAAGAACGATACCGCAGAAACCTATCAACCGAAGTAAAATTCATGGAATGCAACTGTTGGAAAAGTCAAACAAAGGGGGCTAAAGAATTCAACAAAGGGAGCTGGGAGCTACATTTTCAACTAAGGGAGGCCACCGAATTCGATGGAATTGTGCACCGAATTAGATGCAATTAATTGTGTTGAAATTTTGAGATGGGTAAATTGCACTTTAGTCATTGCTCTTTAAGGTATTTTCAAAGATTAGTCCCTAAGCTTCAACTATAAATACCCTTACCCATTTAGCTTCAAAATCATCCCAAATCATTTCTTTCTCCCAATACTAGAGAGTTTTCTTGTGAGTAGTGAGTGTTTTGTAAACACCTGTAAATTTACTCTCTTAGTAAAAGATCTGCAGCAGTCCGGAGATGTAGGCATAATTGGCTGAACTCCGTTATCAATTTCGGGTATTATTTTTCTGCTTTTATTTCGCATTCTCACTAATCTGGTTATAGGGAAATTACTCGTACTTCTTTATTTCCCAACAACTGGTAATAAGAGCTTTTGTTTGTAAATTTTATTAATTTTTTGCGAGGTTACTATTCATTATTATTTACATGAATAGTAAATTTTATGAATAGTAAATTTTTTTTGGAGATACGAATTTGTCGATGGAGGTGTTCTAATACACGGTGGTTCGCAAGAATTGTCAGAAACGATCCAAACGAAGCCATATTTGAGTAGGAGCGAAGGCCGCAGACAAAGGGAATGTGAAAATTGAAAAGTCTGATGGTGCAAACTTTGGCTTTTAGAAGATGCAGATTGAAGATTTTCTGTACCAGAAAAATCTATATCAACCTCTCTCAGGAAAGCAACCAGAGGGCATGAAGAATGAAGATTGGGCTCTTCTAGACAGACAAGCCCTCGGAGTTATCCGACTGACGTTATCTCGCAATGTTGCTTTCAATATAGCAAAGGAAATACCCGCAGCGGGTGTTATGGTGGCTCTCTCCAATATGTATGAGAAGTCATTGGCCTCAAACAAAGTTCATTTGATAAGGCGATTATTCAATTTGTGGATGACGAAAGGGGCATCAGTGGCTCAACACGTAAATGAACTCAACACAATCATAACCCAGTTGAGTTCCGTGGAAATTGAATTTGATGATGAGGTTCGAGCTTTAATTCTCTTATCATCTTTACCAGACAGTTGGAATGCTACTGTTACAGGAGTCAGCAGCTCGTTGGGAAATAACAAATTAAAATTCGACGATGTTCGGGATCTGGTATTGAGTAAAGAAATTCGACAGAGAGAATCGGGTGAAGCATCAAGCTCCTCAGCCTTGCACACAAAGTCTAGAGGGAGAACTTCAGAAAGAAATTCAAATCGTGGCATATCGAAATCCAGAAGGGGAAAATCAAGAACGAAAAAAAAAGATTTTACCTGTTATAATTGTGGCAAGAATGATCACTTTAAAAGAGATTATCGAGCACTGAAGAAATATACCAGTGCACAGGAATCTACCAACATGACATAGAAGACAGGTGATGCCATGATTCTAAGCGTCAACAGTCCGATTGAATCATGGATCTTGGATTCAGGGGCATATTTTAACTCCACCCCATGCCGAGAAATCATGGAGAACTATGTCAGTGGTGATTTTGGGAAGGTTCATCTAGCTGATGATGAAACCTTAAAGATCGTCGGAAAAGGAGACATCCGATTAAAGTTCCCAAACCAGACCACCTGGACGCTGAAAGGAATGAGACATATTCTTGGCCTCAAAAGAAATTTGATTTCTGTTAGACAGCTTGATGGAGAAGGATTTAGTACAATATTTTCAGGCTGTGAATGGAAGATTACCAAAGGAGCACTCGTCATTGCTCGTGGTAAGAAGACTAATACTCTCTATGTAACCTCAAACTTAGAGAATATCATTGTTACAACAGATGCTAATGGAAAATCAAACATATGACACCAAAGGCTTGGCCATATGAGCGAGAAAGGGATGAATACACTTTTGTCAAAAAGGAAGCTTCCGGATCTAAAGAATATAGATGTCGGACTATGCGAGGATTGCATCTTTGGCAAACAAAAGAAAGTCAGCTTTGCAAAGATTGGCAAGACACCCAAGGCTGAAAAGTTAGAGTTGGTTCATACTGATGTATGGGGACAATCTCCAGTTCTATCTCTTGCAGGCTCATTACATTATGTCACCTTCATCGATGATTCTACAAGGAAGGTGTGAGTTTATTTTCTGAAGAAGAAATCAGAAGTCTTTGATACCTTCAGAAAATGGAAGGCCATGGTGGAAAATGAGAATGGTTTGAAAGTCAAGCGGTTGAGGTCTGATAATGAAGGAGAATACAAAAATAGTAGATTCAGAGATTTCTGCGCAAACAATGGGATCAAGATGGAGACAACAGTTCCCATGACACCGCAGCAGAATGGCGTAGCAGAGCGCATGAACATAACTCTGAATGAATGTGTCAGAAGCATGAGGATATATGTCAGATTGCCCAAATATCTATGGGCTGAAGCTATCAACACTGTAGCTTACCTGATCAACCGTGGGCCCTCAATTCCTTTGGATGACAGAATACCAGAGAAAATTTGGAGCAAGAAAGAAATAAACCTTTCACACTTAAGAGTGTTTGTATTTCTTATGTACACATAGATTCTGCTGAAAGAAGTAAACTTGATACCAAGTCCAACAAATGTTTCTTTGTTAGTTATGGTGGTGGTGAGTTCGGTTACCGATTTTGGGATTACGAAAATCGAAAGATCATCAGAAGCAGAGATGTCATTTTCAATGAAAATGTGATGTACAAAGACAGGGCAACCATAGAATCAAGTAGCTCCAATACCGAAGCTGAAACAAAGGAAATTGCTGAGTTCGAGGAGATTTCTAGAAATGATGTTCAAATCAGTCCTGAAGCAGTTCAAGAAGAACCAGGCACACCAGAACTAAGACACTCCTCTAGAATTCCTAAACCAACCCAACGTTATTCGCCTTCTTTGCACTACTTGTTGCTAACTGACAATGGTGAACCAAAGAGTTATGATGAAGCAATGCAGGTGGAGGATTCAGTCAAGTGGGAGTCTTCCATGAAAGATGAGATATACCCGCTTATGTCAAATCAGACGTGGGAATTAGCTGAATTACCACCAGGCAAGAAAGCGCTCCATAACAAGTGGATCTACAGGATCAAAGAAGAGCACGATGGGAGCAAACGCTACAAAGCAAGATTGGTTGTCAAAGGTTTTTAGCAAAAAGAATGTATTGACTACAATGAAATTTTCTCTCCAGTTGTAAAACTGTCTGCAATCAGACTGGTATTGAAAATTGTAGCTGCAGAAAATTTACATCTTGAGCAGTTAGATGTAAAGACAACTTTCCTTCATGGTGATTTGGAGGAAGAAATCTATATGAGGCAGCCAGAAGGCTTCATAGAGACAAGCAAGAAAAACCTGGTATGCAGGCTGAAGAAAAGCTTGTATGGTTTAAAACAAGCTCCTAGACAGTGGTACAAGAAGTTTGATAGCTTCATGAGTAGTAGTGGTTTTACCAGATGCCAAGCAGATCATTGTTGCTATATTAAGAGGTTCGACAACAACTTCATTATTTTATTATTGTACGTTGATGACATGCTCGTTGTAGGCTCAGACATGCAAGAGATTATAAACTTGAAGCAAAAATTGTCGAAGCAGTTTGCTATGAAGGATATGGGCACTGCAAAGCATATTCTTGGGATGAGGATTAAGAGAGACAAAAATTCAGGGACTCTGATGTTATCACAAGCTGAGTACATCAACAAAGTACTCTCCAGGTTCAACATGCAAGATGCTAAACCAGTAAGTACACCTTTAGGTGTTCATTTTAGACTCTCCAAAGAACAGTCACTAAAGACGGAGAAAGAGCGTGCTCACATGGTGAATGTGTCGTATGCCTCAGTAATTGGAAGTCTGATGTATGCCATGGTTTGTACCAGACCAGATATTGCTCATGCAGTGGGAGCTGTTAGCAAGTACATGAATAATCCAGGCAAGGTACACTTGGAAGCTGTCAAATAGATCCTCAGATATCTGCGAGGTACTACAAACAAAGCACTTTATTTCAAAAGTGGAGATACGATACTGACAGGCTATGTAGATGTTGACTTAGCCGAAAATATTGACATCAGAAGGAGCACTACAAGGTATGTCTATACTCTAGGAGGTACTGCAGTGAGTTGGGTTTCTCAACTACAAAAGATAGTTGCTCTCTCCACAACTGAAGCAGAATATGTCGCTGTTACAGAATCCAGCAAGGAGATGGTTTGGCTCCAAAGTTTCTTGGAAGGGTTAGGCAAGAAACAAGAAAACAATGTCTTGTATTGCGATAGTCAAAGTGCTATTCATCTAGCAAAGAATCCGTCTTTTCATTCCAAGACGAAGCACATACAATTGCGATATCATTTTATCTGGTCTCTTCTGGAAGATCGGATTTTGAAACTTGAAAAGATTAGTGGAGCTCAAAATCCAGCAGACATGTTGACAAAGACGGTGACCACGGACAAACTGAAGTTGTGTTCAGCTTCAGTTGGAATGTTAGGTTAACAAGACCAGAAATGCTGCTGCATTGATCGAGGTGTGAAGACAGATTAAAATCAGTCTTCAAGTGAGAGATTGTTGGAAAAGTCAAACAAAGGGGGCTGAAAAATTCAACAAAGGGAGCTGGGAGCTGCATTTTCAACTAAGGGAGGCCACCAAATTGGGTGGAATTATGCATCGAATTCGGTGCAATTAATTGTGTTGAAATTTTGAGATGGGTAAATTGCACTTTAGTCATTGCACTTTAGGGTATTTTCAAATATTAGTCCTTAAGCTTCAACTATAAATACCCTTATCCATTTAGCTTTAAAATCATCCCAAATCATTTCTTTCTCCCAATACTAGAGAGCTTTCTTGTGAGTAGTGAGTGTTTTGTAAAACACCTGTAAATTTTCTCTCTTAGTAAAAGATCTACAGCAGTCCGGAGACGTAGGCATAATTGGCTGAACTCCATTATCAATTTCGGGTATTATTTTTCCGCTTTTATTTCGCATTCTCACTAATATGGTTATAGGGAAATTACTCGTACTCGTTTATTTTCCAACAGCAACGAGGACTGGAAGATGTAGAACACGTACTAAGATCGTGTACAACAACAAGAATAATATGGACAACACTTATAAAAGAAACAAAGCTGACAGAGTTCTTTTCGCTCAACATCAAGGAATGGATTTATAAAAAATCTTGTTTATCCTGCATATTTTGCAAAGAAAGGAGATAAGTGGGATACAATGTTTGGTTACATCAATTGGAACCTTTGGAAAAGAAGAAACAAACGAATCTTCGATCCGAATAATGGAGATAACGAACTCATTATTGAGAGGAGTTACCTAGGGATTTAAATTGCGGTCGCGGCCGCGGCTGCGTTTTCAGTCGCGTTACGTTTATCGCGGACGCGGATGTAACGGATGCTATCGCAGATATTGCGGGTATCGCGGGCGTGAATTGTTTTTAAATTCGCAAAACTTATTATAAAATATAATAATTATAATTATTATTATAAAAAATCACTTTTAATGATTTTTAGAGTATTTTGTAACACTTATAGACTTTTATTAATACATAAACATAATTTTTATCATCATTAATTATTTTTGTATTTATTTATACATTTTTTAAGAATATTATATTAACTCATAACAAATAAAAAATAAAAAATATTGTATTTTAAAATTAATGAAATTAAAATCCAATTTCCTTAGTTATTAGGATTTAATTATTTTTAAAACTTTATATATTTTGTTCTTAAAAAAACTGCAGGATTTTATTAGAAAAACTAAACTAAAACAAATAAAGTCCTCCGGCTGTAACCCATCCCATTACATCTTATCTAAAGCAACCCTACACTGGTCAACAAAAGAAAATAGGAAACTAAAACTTATTCAGCCGTTTCACCTTCTTCTTCCTTTCGAAATGTGCCATTGAAAAACTTATAAGAAAGCTTTAAAATTTTTGTTGAACCTGAAGTGCTCTGAACCTCTATCTTATTTATAAAGATTCTGTAATTAGCATCTACGTCGGCATATATGGAATTTCCTCAAACTCAGAACAATTCTTCTTCTTCATCCCTTTTTCTTGATGCGAGCAAGTGCGCAACTTGATTCCCCTCTCTCGGTGTAAACCTAAATTCAAAGGTATGTAATTCTTTTATGTATGAGTTGCTATTTTTTTGAAGTCACTGTGTTGTGGTGATGTTTGATGTTGTAACGGGGATTAACGAAAAAAACAGTCCGTTATAGCCGTGATCGACCGTTACCCGTTAAATTACTGCCGTTATCGACCGTTATGGATGTGATTCCGTTTCACACCATGATTTCGGCTGATATCGGTAACGGGGGCTGTCGATACCGCGATATAACGGCCGTTATACCGTTACACGGCCGTTTTGAATCCCTGGAGTTACCAAATGATGCAAGTAACATCCAGAGCTATTGAGGCCTCAAAGATAGTGTGTTTTAACAAAGGAATTCAAGAAGGACAAACTAGTTGGATCCCACAGCCCTCAGGTTGGTTAAAAATGAACTCGGATAGAAAGGGCGACTGGAATGGCGTCTTGCGGAGGAGTTATAAGAGATGAGAAAGGTAATTGGAAGATTGGTTTCCACAAATCAATTGGGGTTTGTTCAGTAATTGAAGCGGAACTACGGGGAGTATTTGCAGGATTAAGGTGTGCTTGGGAGATTGGAGCAAACAAACTACTTATTGAAGTTGATAGCCAAGATGTGTGGAGAGGTTTACACAGCAAGTCCAACGAGAATAAACAATTTGGCACTATATTGATCGAATCATTCGAAGAAACTGGGAAACCAAGGCGATCCACGCACGCCGTGAAAGGAACAAGATAGCGGACAACATGGCCAAGCTCAATAGACCAGGAGAAGCTCGCTGCATTAGATTCCAAGAGCCTCCAACGGAACTGGCTGCAGCAATTCAAAAGGAGACAGCCTCTGATTAGTTAAATAGGATATTTCCAATTTTACCACACAAAAAAAAAAAAAAAGATCAAGTAGTTAGCCATTGAAATTCGATCCATCACCTTCACTCTATATAAGGTGCTCTTAATAAATATCTCCCATTGATTACTATGAATGGATATAGATGTGAATATGAAGAATTGGGACTCAATTCAATTTTATAATATTATTTTTATGTAAATTCGACTTTAAATTGGATTAGACTTTTTAAGGGGGAAAATCAAGTTGAGTTCAAGTCTATGATGAAAAATCTTCACTTTGAGATATTAATATATTATCTCTTATATAATTGGAGATAATTATAATAATACATCTTTTTATATTTTTTTCAAGTAGGTCCCTTTTTATCTAATAAAAATTGAATCGATTGAGTTGTAACCTCCTAAAACTGAGTCAAACCAGGTGAGAAGTGAAAGGATAAAAATACTCAAATTGAATTTAGATTAATCAAAAATTTAATTCAAATGGACTCATACTAATTTCTAATAATTATTAATTGATTCTCTCTAAAAATCCGAGTTCAAGCAGCTACATCTACATAGCGTATGTACATTGTCAATAAATTAAAAAATTCTAAACAAATACTATCCGGAACTATTAACAAAAATTGATTCTCAAATGCTTCATATGCATAATAATATATGTATTTTTGTTAGGAGCCGAAAAGTATGAGAAAATGCATGCATATATTACAAATGCGCCACAAATTAACTAAAGGCAATGGGATCATAATATCTATTAATTTATGAATACCAAATTGTCAATCTTCTTCTTCTTCATCACGCCTGATTAAAACTATACCATAATTAGCCTTTTGGGTTTGGTGC